ACTATATAAAATATACGTTTATTTCACCACCTTGTCTTATTTTTTATGAATTCCTAAACAGTTCACAATCATATGAGACATTTATTAGGAGCTCCTCGTAGCAATGATGAAGTCAGATCATGGTCACATATTTTTTGATCGAACCTCGTGCAGAGGTGCACAACAGCTCTTAGCCGACACCCTCCTGCCCCGCCACAAGCCAGTAAAAAATAAAATCTCGACCTGAAACATCAAAGACACCGACGGGAGTGAATTTACTTCTATTCACTTATGTACGGTGATCTGGAGAACTGCGTTTATGTGGAATTAACTGCCTGAGAACGTTTTTCCAAATGGATTTAATCTCCAGCGATTCAAATCCAATGTGAATCGCACCGCTCTTAGAGCGGCTTGAGGATTTTCCTGTAGTGCTCGTGTTTTTGAAATTTGAAGCAAGTCGTCTTCAAATTCATAACTTTCAGGACAGTATGGATAAGTATGAAGTGTGGATGTGAGTCTCTTATGAAAAATACATATCTACGGTATTTGTAGAATACTATCCTACAAGTAGCTTTGAAAAAAACTATATATAAATATGTTTCCATTTCCTCATTCAATATGAACACGCCTAAAGAAGTTATTATATAGTGAAACATGTGTTATAAATAAAATGTTACTTTAATTCCATCATGATATTTTCTAACTGGAAAGCAGCCCAAACACAACGCATTTGTGATCCAACATCAGACAGCGCTGTTTCGACCCATTATAGGTCCCATCAGTGGTGCGATGCTGAACCAAAAAGGGGTTTTCCCACCAGGGCTTCATCAATTTCATAAAAACCAATTGTGTTGAACATAAACCAAATATGACATAAATATTTTCTACTTCTTTTACCAACCATTATCAAGAACTAGGCCTCTTTTGAGTCTCTGGATGTAAGAAGACAGTCTGGAGAAAATACTTTCAAAGCAGAACTTCATTTCGAAATGTTGCGTGGCCATGAATTCATTAAGGTTTTTTAAATTAATTATAATATGATTCAGTTATCCTTCAATCCACGATAACATTATTATATCTGGAATTATTTGTTTTCAGTAATAGATAGACTGGCTTACTTTTTCTGCTTGAAAAATCACCATTGGTTTTAATATATCTCCTTATCGTTTTAGTTTCTGTGTTGAGAACAGCTCTAGCACTTCGACCGTTACCTTATTGCCTTTAATAATGTCTACCGCAGTGGTAGATGAAACGTCAGGCATAAAAACCTACAGACTACGGCCGAAAAATACGAAAAATGGCTGTGACAGTTATCTCCGGCCTGCAAGTTCACATTTTTTTTCATTATCAGCTTGTTTCTCAAGAAATTTGGCAGCTGCGAACTCTTCGAACAACATCTAAATCAAGCTCGATTTCTTGTGAGCATAAACGAAAAATTGCTGTTGGTTTGTTGGAACAGTCATTGATAGATATCAGACGTTGAAAAGTTTTCTGTACTTCAACGATGTGACCTTTAATCTCGCATAAAAAAGCAAATATTTAGGGTCTGTACAAAAATCCAGCTTGTTAGGAATTATTGCGAAATTGGATGTCGTGTTTTGTTTGGGCTAAAGGAAGAACAAGAAAATTGAATTATGCTGTATGAATAACTCTTACGGTTTTGCTAAGTTCATAACAAATCTTGGTGACATTACGATTATCGTTTTTATTCAATTTTGAAAAAACTACTGACAAAAACTTATTAAAAATATAATGCAAGGTACTACTATACATGTAGTTTCCACCTATGCGGTTCCATAGGTTTCCATCAGTGGAAAAATCTATTAGGTCATTGATAATGGTTTGAATTCGGTTCATGGCAAAAGAGATTCCTTCTCGCCTGGAGAAGTTTAGAGGCATGCAGCTCTGGCCAAATATTCTTACAGCCATGGCCCACGATATAAAGAGAAGAAGATTTGAAAGCATGGGTCAAGGGGCTCAGGACAAATCATTTGGAGCTGGGTATATGACGAAGAACGGAGGCCAAAAAACCGCAATAACCCACCTACAGCGCTGCACTTCTATTACTTTCGTAAAAACACATTGCTTTTTCGTAATTCGTTTATTCTGATTATTTGGCTAGTATTCAAGATTGCCAAGTACATTTTATATCAAATTTCCATTGACTTGTTTACTTCATCTAGACCAAAGATCGTCCAGGAGTAGAACTTGGGTTTTAGTTCTGTCAGAATAAGCCCATTTCTGAACATATAACCTTGACATATGAAGCATACGCACCTCAGATACGCACATGCAAAAATTACGACATTGAAATATCCAGTGTAACTCTGCCAAATGATCAAGAGACAAGTAGAAAACTGTAATGTAGGCCTAGTGTCTACTTCGTTCTTTCTATGAGCTGACGCTGCGGTTTTTTGGCTTTAACCTCTATTTCAGCTTTTTGACGTTGGGTCAACTTCATTCCATTGGTAGAAAGTAGGGTAATTATTATTAGTAGAGAGTGGTGAACTTTTAATTCATTTTAACACTGGAGAAGTGGGGAGTACTTTATAGACATCATTGAGGACAAGGCAGGTTTGTTCTGGTTCTAACATCCGGAACTGTTTGAAACTGCGCGAGACATGATGCGTACAAACAAAAAATCTCAAACAGTCCGAAAATGATAATATCTGCGAAAAATCATCCGACTATCATTTTGTCAACGAGTACTTGTACAAACCAGTAAATTTGGAAGAATATCAGCACAAACCAAACATAACTCTGAGGTATTCTGACAGGTATTACCCAGAACAGTACCGTTCCAGATACGAAGAAGACGACGAGACTCCAGTCCATCATCAACATTCGGTAATGCCTGAATATGTATCATTCGCTTTCTGAAAACATTTTACCTGAAATATAATATTGATTTCACCCTTAACTTATGACATCACCTAATCATCAATGTAATCTGTATAACAACATTATAACTGAATAAGTGTAAAACATTTAAGGAGGTGATTCCTCATCGAAAAAAAGATAAGATCTTTCATATAAATAAACTTCATTGGAGCATCCCTTGTTAAGATACAGTACCTTAAAGGGGGTACATAAAATTTGTATAACAATTTTTTTCACAAGCACTAG